TTTATGTTTTTGTTCTAGCAGCTTTGCTTTTTGTTGAACTTGTATCTTCTTTATTTCTTTTCTAATTTTATTTTTTCTTTTTTCTTCATATTGTTTTATTTCCATTAATTCTACTGATTCTTTAAAGTACTGTAATAATAATCCTAATATTATTTTATTATGCTGCCTTTGTCGATACTTTTTCTGCTTATCTAGTCTTTTTATCTATCCTGTTTTTATTCTAGCTTTTGTATACTCAACAGCCAATCTTACTTTATTATATATAAACAGCCTTTTTCTTTCTACTGTATATAGATTTCTTATAGTACTGATTACTTCATCTAGTAGGATATATTCTGTTGAATCGATTTCTAGCTGTATCGCCTCTTGATATGCTGTATTATTTCTTTCCATGAGTGCAAGTTTTGTATATTTAATTTTTCCTGCTCTATATTGTCTTAATTTTATATGGATTGCTGCTATTCATTCCTCTGCTTGTTCTGTTGTTGTAGATTTTGTTCTAGCATTTTCTATTGTTTTTTGCTTTATATAACTAATAGGGTCTATATTGGGCCAGGTCGGGTCAGGTATCTCCAAACCCATACCCAAACCCGAAAATATTTTACAAACCCAAAGTTCAAGTCCGGCCTGATAACAAATTACGGGTTTGGGTCAGGCCGGGCTTACCTCAAACTATAGCCCGATTCTGCCAGGCCCGACCCAGCCTTTCATTGGATAACATTCATGTGATTGGTTAATTTATGTCGATTAAAACATGATCATTGACCAATCAAATCTTAATTTTGCAAATAAACTTCGTTATTATTAGCATTTAATTTTATATTCAAAACATTAATTCTATTTTATTCTCAATCGTCACAAACTTTACTAGAGATGCGCACAATACTATTTGCATATACTATATTGATCTGCTATTACAAACCACGATATTGCTTACCCAACAATTTAACTCTATAATATTAATTAAGATGCAAAGATATAAGTATAGTACCTATATTAAAAATAAAAAGAAACAGATATATTACTAACTTTCTGATCTAAATAGACAATACACTTGAAACTTTCATGTTAGCTAAATATATTGTTCACTTATATATTTTTGGTCTACCATATAAAAGCCTTTTTATTTTATTTAACCATATAAGCGAATAGATTTTATATCAAAAAATAAAATGAAGCTGTTTAAGACACTTCCAAAACAGCTTTGATTCTAAATACTAAGTAAAAAAAAATATATATAATGCGAAGCAAAAAACCGGCAAAAAAAAGCGGCAAAAAAAAAACTGTCAAAAAAAAAATCCCAAAAAAAACACCGCAAAAGAAACTATCAAGAAAAAAAAATTACAGATTTAATTCCTGCCCCATTTATCTACACCATTTGACCAATCTTGGCCACATATTAACATCTCAGCTGATTCTGGAGTGAGATTTGACCGATAATCATCAATAATTCTTCCAGCTATACTGAATACCTGAATACAAAATATAGGTTAGCTTATCAATAAAAATAAAGATAATATGGACTAAGTGCTAAGAAAAGGACAGAAAATGACAAAAAAATGATCTTTGAAAAATCAATTTTGATATTATAAATCTTAAAATAAATCATAAGAAAATACAAGCTTTAATGAGCTACACTGCAAAATTTTATTAATACAACTTCTTTTGTATCTTAAGTGACAAATGATCCTAATCTTATTTTAAATTAATTTATGTAAAAGAATCTTTTGAAAAAATTATCATTTTCAGCCCTTTTTCCAGCACCTAGCACATATATAGACAGTAAATGAGATTTTTAAAGTCACTTACAGATTCAGATGCCACGGATGTCAACGGAATCACAAAAATATCTTGAGCCATTAAAAACACAGTAGGATATTTTGGTACATTTGTTTTCCATCACGCTAGAACATCAAATTTTCCAGAGTGAGGACAGGAGAAAAGTGGATCAGCAAGAAATTGCTCAAGTTCATTTAAATTTTTTTTGGCATTAGCTTCATCGTCAAGAAAGGCATAAAAGTCTCGCATTTCATCCTGAACAATATTTGGAGAATTATCTAACATTACAGTATCTTCGACTGTATGCTCTCTATAAGTTGAATCATAGATAGTTATAACTCTATAATAGTAAATAATTATGAAAGTTAATACTCAACATCTATTTAAGTTATCATGTGAGCTAGGTGCTGAAAAAGAGCATAAATTGACAATTTTTTCAAAAGAAATTTTTTTATACAAATCAATTTATAATAAGATTAGGATCACTTTTTACTTAAACCACTTAAGTAGTTATATTAATAAAAATTTGCAGTATAGCTCTAAATTTTCTCATGATTTATTATAAGATTTATAATATAATTGACTTTTATATAACTTTTTTTTGTCAATTTGGGCCCTTTTCTCAGTACCTAGCACATGTGATTTCGCGAACATATTTGCGAACTCACATGATATTATCAAAGACAGCTAATGTTTTTCATGTCAAATTTTTTTGATAAGATTAAACTTAATACTAACTTCGATTTAATTAAAGCCAACTTGTTCTCAGCTTCAACACCTGACAGGTTCATCTTCTGCTTATACATATGGGTTATAAATGACATTTTATAACGGAGTCTAGTATCGAGGCAATGCAGTGCATATCTACTATATCCACCCAGTACTTATTAAATTTGGTTTGCATTGGGCTTATCATTTGAACAAGAAAGGGATCACCATTAGTAGCATTTCGTTCAAGGTGCATTCTAATTCTCAACAATTCAGAAAGAAAAATATTTGCTGTGGAGTAGGTGTTTCCTGATATAGGGGTCGTTTAAAGCCTGGCACCTTACGAAATCACCTGAAGTACGGGAAATCACAGAACACAGATTATTTCGGCCTTTTGAAAAAATGACGTAGAATCTACTTTGAGGAACCGTCGATGTTACACATCTAATACAATTATTTATGT